GTGTGTGTGTGTGTGTGTGTGTGTGTGTGTGTGTGTGTGCGCGCGCGTGTGTGATATATATATATATACACACACACAAGAACACATGCAGTATATACATTTCCTTTTAAAATAAACAAAATATTATATTTAGTTGTACCAAATTATGTTAAAACAGCATAAAAAATGAAATTAGGCAATCTTTTTGTTTCAAGTTAGATTAATAGATTAAATTTATTTATTAGAAACTTTTAATTACAAAATGTTCCAGTCAGTTATTGTATTATTAGTACTATTACACAAGAATTAGAAGAAAACTGAGATTGACAAAGTAATTCTGTAACCAATTATGAATATATTGCATTTATGAACTGTAAAATTAAAAAAAAACATCTTATAATAATCATAATAATAAATACAGATTCTAATGGAATTATCTTTTTTAACATTGTAGCTGTTTTTGAGCTCTWTTAAATTAAATACTCATTTGAGACTTGGAGCGACATTAACCAGTATGGAGGCTCAGTGTTAGCACTGATAACTCACAGCAAGAATGTCCATGAATTCCTTCCACAGACCAAAAAGACCTCCCTTCTCAGTAGGATTTGCCTGGTAAAATAAAGGTAAAATAAAATAAGCTGAAAGACAAAAGTCTGGGCAACAAACAGTCTTCAGTTTTATTTTAAACTTAAGCTACAAAAAGAAAACTAAAGTATTATTTTATATTCAAAGAGAAAGTATACATCTTCTTCAGGGTTGACTAAAGTGAACACAAGGACAAATAAATTGAACAGATTGCTAAATATAGCAACTGTTTCTGTATCATTCTGAAACAAGGAGAAACAAACACATTTATACATTTTCACAAAACGGCATCAGCTGATGAATTTGTGTTTTAATAAGTTTGAAGTTTCAGACATTTGGGCTGAAATCTTGTTTTTATCTTTGTAAAGGCTGCAGTTTGATTTAATCTGATCTCTAATCTTTTAAATCCTTCAGGTCATAACAATATGTGAGGAGTTGATAGAACGAAAAAAAGAGGACTTTGAAAGAAGGCCTTTTTGAGGTGATTTAAAAAGATTTATCACTGAAGATGAATTGAGCTGCAACAGAAAATAATTAAAATCACTAGAAGTGTTTRAGCATGCATCCATTTAAGTTTATTTTTCAATGTACAAAACTACACCGGCCAAAATCTAAAGCCTTATTAAACTCTATTAAATTTGAACTCACCTGAAATTTATAAAGCTTTTCATGTAAAAGAAGTGCACAGTAATAATANTTGTGAGGTAACCTCTTCTGAGGTGAAACTATATAGTTAAAGACGCAGTAGCTAAATGCTAAATAAGGTTCTAATAATACAGACAAAAATAAATTTCACATCCATGTTCCAGCAGTCTACATTAGGCATTTGGCCTGACAGTGGATTTGCAGCCAAATGTGATGCAATATTTTAAAACGTGGCTGATGCTCTGATCTCTCAGGCCGTAAATGAGGGGACTCAAAAACTTGGGGAAAATGACCAGAGCAAAAAAGAAGATGTACTCGATGTGAATGGTGAGGGCGGCGTTCAGGTTCAGCAGCTCGCTGGAGCTGATCATGTTGAAGAGGGTGGAGACGAGGTACAGGCACAGCTGAAACACATGCAGCAGCACCGTCTTCTGCTCACCTTTGGCCCCCCGCGCACAAGAYGGGGGCCTTTTCACAGAAACCACGATGGCAACGTACGTGTAGACGATAATGATGGTCACCAAGACAAAGTTCAAAATGGTGAAGGCCCTGTTCAGGGTCACGCAAACCTGCAGCTGGAACACGGCGTTCCTGCTGCAGAACCGCTGAGCCATGAGGCCCGCGCTGTCCACAGAGAAGAACAGAAAGAGCTGGGTGAAGGACTCGATGGACGACACGGTCCACATGACGGCGATGGCTCCGGCCGCCACCCTGGGCGTGGAGACGGAGGCGTGCCTGAGAGGGAAACAAATGGCAACGTATCTTTCCAGGGACATGGCGGCCAGGTTGATGGGAGACAGCTTGACGGTGATGGCTGCGAGCTGAGTGAGGAGGACGCACAGGCAGGTCACCATCCGGATCATAGTCAGGCCGAACAGGTAGAGCAGCGTGGTGAGCAGAAGCTGCAGAGAGTCGATGAGCAGCAGGTGGCCGAACAGAATGTACCGAGGGCTCTCCAGGAGGAAGGGYTTTTTCAGCAGGGCGAACATCATGACACTGTTAACATACAGGAAGAGCAGACATGGAAGGACAGACAGCAGCACTTTGACAGAAACGTGGAACTGCAACAGTTTGGACACCTCTGTGACATTCATGGCTTCATGGAGAGTCTGGAAATGCAGGACAGAAACATCAGAAAAACCTTTCATCAACATGAGAAACAGCTCAAATCATCAACAAACAACACAGCACTATGAAAAGTTTGTGTTTTAAAATGTCCTGCTTGTTTGAGACTCAGAACTTACACTTGGTCTGATTATAGCAGTAAACTTTAGAGGACAAATCTGTGAGAAGACATACACCCCCTTGTTAAATAGACCAAAAGGTCTAAACATCATCCCCCTGATGAGTTTAACAACCAATCAACGAGCTCCTTTAGTGACRTTCTGTTTATACGAAGGGAAAGTTTTAGGAATTTGTATTTCCATTTACTTTTGCCACTTTCAGCAAAAACAACTTATACTGTTCTGCTTTGCTGAACCTACAGCATGAATGTGGATTTTTATAGGTTTTATTTTTCCTCTTTCTTTCCTTTTGCTTTGGTGGAGCCTTTCCAGATGTGTAAGCTTCATGTTACTGGCACTAATTCACCCCTATACCATCAGAGAGGCAGGCTTTTTAACTKTGAGCCAACAGGTTCTTCTCTTTAACACGGTGTCCATGAACCACAAAAATAACTTTCAATCAGTCTGTTTTATGTGGGTTTTGGCTTCACATATGGTTTATTCTTTGCACGATAGAGCTTTAACCTGCATTTGCAAATGTAACAGTGAAATGTGCTGATGGACAGTGATTTTTGGAAGTGTTTTTGAGCCCATGCGGTGATGTCCAGAACAAAATCAGATTTGGTTTTAATGCAGTGTTGCCTACAGTGACTTCTCATCTCGGAGTTGTACAACAATTTTGGAGTCACTTTAAGATTTAACCTTAAAATAGCCATGTTCCATTTACAGATATTAAGCTAACCTTTGATGTGGCTGTAGCTGAAAATCATTCAAAACATTTATTCTGGATGATACAGATCTCTCAGTTTGTACAGAACAATATTTTAAGGTTTGATCAAAACAGTTAAAATTTTATCAATGTATTCTAGACTGATTTCCGAAACTCAAGCAAACTTTTTTTAACAAGAACACTTTGTTTTTTAAAATCCTGGACAGCTGAGGCTCAAGCTGCTGTGAATGACAATGACTGTCTCAAATGAAACACAGTAAAMGATGTAACAAAAGAAGAACAATCATTCATAAGTCCAGCATTTTCTTGTTTTGACCTCATTAGAGGGATCAGTGTTTAAAAAGGAAAATGTTATTAGAGTCAAAAGAAATAAACAAACTTTATCCCTGTTAAGAACAAAACATGTTTATGGACTCAGATGACAAAAAAAATCTCAGAGGCTTTGGCTCCTTAAAGGATGGTCATTATATCTCATTAATAATTCACATGTTTGTATACACAACATATTTCTGTTGATCCATGGAGGGACAATTAAAAGCTGGTTTTGTTCCATGAATTTTATGTCCTGAAAGTTCTGGAAGGCAAACATTAACTAGACAATAATTTTACTGTTTTCACTACACTTTTTTTTTGTGGCATTTTGAAGAAAGCCTGAACAGAAAGTATGTTTATGTCAGCCACATCTCAACAGCATTGGTTTCCTGTTTTCATTTTACAATTAAGAATTGCTTAAAGCAGCAATTTCTACAAAACAAAACTTTTTTAAAATTCATTGTATCTTATTCCTTCATTAAAACAAAAAAGTATATCTAATTACAATAAAAGCTAAACCCGTCATAAATGAAAGGAAGCAGAAAGAAGAAAAATATTTAATCTGCCCCCTCCCCCCCTAAAAAATTTCAAAAATAACATCAATACTGGGTCCTTCCTGAAGAACAATTTATGTCAGCACCCACATATAATTCATATTTTTTCATCAAACTAACCTTTACCATTCTCTTAAATATACAAACTTTTGCAGCAGATTATTCCTTGTCATTTCTTTTGAATTAAGGTATTTCTTTCCTTAAAACTAGTTCAAAATTGCAGTTTAAATAAATGTCACTTTAATTAATTTTATTTAGATAGTGCCAATTCACAATATAGATGGGTGGATAGATTACTACATCATTGATGGTAGATTGATAGATCTAAAGATAGATGGGTCGATCAATAAGTATAGACTGATGGGTAGGTACTGTAGATAGACTGGTAAATTGGCGGATAAATGAGTAGATACAGTAGATAGATGGGTAGGAACCACATGTTAACCTGCAATCCACAGTGCTCTATTAGTAAAATATAAAGAAATAAAAAATAAATGCAGTAGTTATTCATATTTCTTTCAATAACAACCAACCTACCCATATCTAAATATAAATGATCATTTTCAATGGACTACAAGATAGACAAACATGAGGCTTTGTAGTAAGATTCTTTGATAGTTAGTTTATTCTGGCATTAAGAGACATATCATGCTTTTAAATAATTCTTTTTCACATTTAAATCATTCAGTTTGGGTCTATATAAAGTGGAACTGCAATGCTTTGATCTAAAGTCCTCCTTAATGTAATTCCACAAGCCCCTCTTTCACCCCTTCTCTGATTAGTGTCTCAGATTAACTCATTTTGATGCTGTATCTTTAAATCAAAACGATGCACTTCACTCAACCTCAGATCTGTCCAGTTATGTACATTACCTGTGGACAGAGCAAGGGAGTAAAGCACTGTGCAACAGTATCAGGTAAAGCCTCAATTTTCTATATTTAATGTTTAAGGAGCAATAATTGTTGTAATCTGTTAAAGCAGTCTTTTGCAACAGCTTTTTTCCCTAAAAACATTTAGAAAGTTTGGGGAACTATCACTCAAGAACACTTAACAGATTACAACGTCTGGGTCATTRAAAGCAAAATAGATATTTGCTAAGACTTTGAAGACTATAAGAAATGCTGACTCCTTTAAAGTAAAACTACAGAAAACTTTCAGCTGATTTTGCTAAACATCAAACACATAGAGCAGTGGTTCCCAACTTTATTAGACTTGTGGACTTTAGACAGTGTGAACGGCTGAAGGAACTGTCCAAGGTCCTGAAAGTGCTGGAATGTTTTGGGACTTTAAACAGTGTGGAGGAACTATCCAAGGTCTGAAAGTGCTGGAATGTTTTGGGACTTTAAACAGTGTGAAGGAACTATCCGAGGTCCTGAAAGTGTTGGCATGTTTCAGGACTTTAAACAGTGTGAAGGAACTGTCCAAGGTTCTGAAAGTGTTGGAATGTTTCAGGACTTCAGTGTGAAGGACTGAAGGAACTGTCCAAGGTCCTGAAAGTGCTGGAATGTTTCAGGACTTAACGTGTTAATTACGTGATTCTATCTGCAATTTCTGCATGGTGGAAATAATTGGGCCCTACATATCTCAGTCCTATTTTTATTAATTTATTTTACACACCTGGGAGATTTTTCCATGTACCCCCTATAATATGCTCGTGTAACCCAAGGGGTACACGTACCCCTGGTTGGGAATCATTGACATAGAGGTTTGTGTCGGCTGAATCCATCTTTTATTACTTTCAGCAGTTTCGGTTCAAATATTGCAAACACACATGAACAACAATGCAATCACTCAAAATAAACCATTTAACATGGAGAGAAATACAGTTCAGAAAATAATACATTTAATGTAAAGGAGAAATAAAGAACACAACCTGAATGTTTTTAAATAAAAATAAGGCAAAAGCTGAAAGGCAAAAAATATCTACATAACAAAAGCGACGTAATTACAATAATAATAAAGTCATATTTGATTAACTTTGCTAATAAATGGACAACAATATGAATGAAACTTGAATTATTCCCTCTGCTGCTGCTGGCGACAATATTTGGACAGGAAATTAGCTGTGGAAAAAAAAGAAAAAGATTGATTAAAAACAAATAACACTAATTCAAAGTGGTGTTTGAAAGTGAGTAAATCAGTTTTAATCTTCTGTTTCCGTACTTCTGTTTGAATACACGAAATTTATTTTTATTCTTAGACAAGTCCAGTGATCAGGACTGAAAATCAGGAAAATAGTGTTTTTCTGAGTTACTAAAACACAAGAAGTTTGCTTTAGTAATGAATTTGGAACATTTTCTTTGTGTATAAATTTTCTATGATAAACATGATGCTAATCACATTAGCTTTTCTATGGAATATTCAATGTTAAGCTAGCATCTATGCTAATTGATGATCAGTCTGTTACTAAACGAGTGTGGGTATAAAATATTGTGTAACCTTTATTAAGCATAAAAATGTCAAATCTGTTAATAATAAATAAATAATTATAGTTTTAGTAGTTTATTTTGTAGTTATCGATTTAATAATCTTTATACAGTGGGGAAAATAAGTATTTAGTCAGTCACCAATTGTGCAAGTTCTCCCACTTAAAAAGATGAGAGAGGCCTGTAATTGACATCATAGGTAG